GGTCGCAAATTCAGCGTCACGCAGGCAGGATAGAGATGCGACAAGCTATCACGAGGGAAGTGTCGCGCCCGTCAGCTCAGACGGGAGGGTTGCCAAAGGATTTGCCCTTTGGAAGTGATGACACGAGGCGAGCCAAAACTCGCAGGTCGTCAATCGAGGCTCCTTGCAGAGCCTCTCCCTCAACACCGTGAGCACGGAGCAAGGCACAGTATACGCTCGTGACGTCGTGGGTATTTTTGGAAATTGTTGGAGATGGGGGGGGGGAGATATCACTTCCCTCACCGACAATGTTTCGGTGTGGCCTGCCGAGGGAATTTTGACAGCTGAGGGCGCCTTTGACGAGGATGGAGAGGCTAGGGCTGCGCGCGGGGAAGCAGGGACAGCCGATCGAGGAGGAATTGGAGAGGAAGGACGGGAGCATACGTGAAGCTCCCGGGGGTCAGATGTGACGATGGGGGTATCGTCGGGAACCGGTGTTTGGTTTCCGAATCGACGGCTCGTTTGAGCTTCCCACGCTGAGCAGAGGGTCGATGACCAGGGGATGAACCACACGAAGTCGCCCGCGGCTGGGTGGTTTCGACCAGGGGAGAAAGAGGGACGTTGGCGATTGAAGGATCGAGAGAAGTTTTGCGGAGGGACACAGTCCCAATCCACGCCCTCGATCGTATCAAGGAGGGAGCGTATTTCGCGATTGACATCAGAGCCACCCAGAGAGACAGAGAAGTCCAATAGACGCATTTGTGCCATCAGCTTCGCGGGGAGGTGCCACAGGCGCCAGCAATCATAGGTCTCCTACAAGAGGATCGCAGCTACTTTGACGCACCACTCTGTATGGAAGACCACCCATAACCCGTGTTGCGGATCCCGCAGGTAGCTGCCATAGTACGTGAGTATGGGTCCCATTTCGGCCCAAAAGCCTTGACTCACCTCGTACTGGCTCCACCATGAGGGGATGCGCTGGTAACGACTTGCATAATGCTGACGGGAAATCTCGCGCGCCTCTACCATTTGGTAGCCGATGAAGTACCCCGTATCAGACCGAATACGCCGTTCAAAGCGCACTGTGTTTTGAAAGAAGAAAATACCCCCGCGTTTTAAATGACGGAAATTCGAAGGGATAATGGGATCGGTCCAAAAGATGGCATCGGATGTGACAGTATGTCGGTTTCGCCACAGGCGATCCGCTTCGGCGGCAGGGCCACCAAAGGTGATATCAATGAGATTGTCTAAGTAGAGGCGTTCGCCCTCTGTACGACAACGCCAAGTGTCGCAACCGTATAACGAGGGTATGAGGGTGTCGGAAATGGGGATGGCAAGTCGAGCGAATACGGCCTCCATAAATCGCAGGGAGAGAGTGAGACGGCCCCGTGGGGGAGGATGACGTAGGATGGAAGTTGGAATTGCTATACGGGTTCGCCAGTCAAAGGAGCGGATAGAAAGCACAGGGAGATTACCGGGAAGCATGCCCGCGTCGTCGGCGAACTGGTGTTCGATTTTGGAAACGTCGCGAATACCCACGGAGGAGAACCACTGGGCCGAGGCAAATAAGGAAGGATGTTCGTGCATGATTTTGTCCCGTAGCTCTTCGAGCGAGGGGTAGTGGCGGGCTACCCAAGAGGGATGATAACCTGGATGAAAGGCCGGGTCAGAGACGTCCGAATCAGGGGGACGTCGGGGTATAGGAGGGAGGTAGACGGAAGCGCGAGACTTGTTCGCGAAGCCGACACCGGTGCGTCGACGGGCAGTGTTTTCGCCCGCCAGCTCAGGAGGTGGAGGACACGTGGGATTCGTCTTGTCCTTGCTCATGCGGAGACCGTCGGTCAGGAATGGAAAAGTAGGGGGTCGAGAAGAGAAGAAGGAGTTGGAGATCAAGGAGTGTAGCCGATGTGCAAGGACGCTCAGAAGGGGGATATGTAGTGCAATACGCACCTGGAAAGGGGGGTGAAAAGAAAGGAAAATATTTGGATATGAAAAGTAGTCCGAGTTGGGGGACACACGTGTGAATAATTGCACAGTTTTAATTTTTAATTATTTTATTTTATTTAGTTAATTAGTGGGCATTAATTTTGCTGACACTAGATTAGATCTAGGATCTAGCGCCGCGAGCTACTGTAGTGACTCCGGCGGGGCGATATATACCTTAGCCCTCTGACCACCAAGTCAGTAAAGGTAACCCGAGTTGCCAGAGTTGAATATCGCCTTGGTCGAAGTCCGTCTTTCCCAAGACGCTCCCTTTTACCACAGATTACGTTATCCTTTGCGCTCGGGGGTTCCCTTTTTCTTTTTCCATTATTTCCCTATTCATTTCTACCTCTATCCCTAGTTTTCCTCTAATTGTGTTGGTTCCACTGGAGTTGGTTGCGACCGATCCGGTGTAGGTGTTTTAGCCATCGGGCAACACGTTGTGTAGCGCTGCTACTGTTTCAAGTTCCGTCGGAAGGCTGTTGCAACGACGCCTCCGTGGAAGGTCTTACTGCATAAGACAGAGTTGATACCACCTATCGCGATTGCGATCGCGCTGGTGAGCGTGTTTTTAGCCATCGGGCAACACGTCGGTAGTAGCGCTGCTACACGGTTACGATCCCGTCGGGTAGTGCTGAGCAAGCCCCCGTCGAAGACCTTGCATTATACCCAAGGTGCTGAAGACGCTCTTCGAGCATTGGCCTTACAACCCAGCGAACCGCGGTTACCTGTAGACAAGCCCAACCCGCACTCGCCGAGCGCTCAAGTCTTCGCAAGTCTCTACCACCATTTTCCTCCCGGGCCGGGCATCTTTCCTTAACTCCCCCCGTCGGAGTTGAGCTACTGTGGGCGGCACGCCCACACAAGGGGAAAGGGAGTCTCGAACGCTCCGTAGCGCGTGCCATCGGCAGTGGTTGTTGCTGTTGTTGTTTTTCGTCTTTTTGTTTGACCGTCGGACTGTGTTCGCGGCCTGCCAGGCACCTTGCACTACACTTGGATCTACAAGATGAAATGGATGTCTTTGAACAGATTTAGAGATTTGAGATAAAGTAGTCATTTTGTAACATTTAGTTATCAATTTTTTTATTAGAAGAATTTTTTACTCTTTTTAAAAAAGTCATCGAGTGCTTTAAATAAATCTCCTATAATTTGCGGATTTATCGAAATAGTACAAAAAATAAAATTATTATCAATACTAAGTGAACTAACGAAATTTTCATAATTATTCATTTAATTTATTAGAAATTCATGAAACATAGTTCGGTAACGAAGTAACTTCAACTACAATTGGCATAAAACCATGATTTGTGCGACAAATTTCACCTTTTTACGTAAAGGTCGAGTACTTGTAGGGTAATTCCTCTAGTGCAACAAAGTCCCATGTTTGCAAAGAAAGAAAATGAGACTATTACCACCCGGCAAACGTCTAGCTATTCAGTAAATCCATCATTGCCGCTGCACTTAGATCTGTTTTCTAAAGTATCTCCAAATGCTGCGGAAAGGCGTGCTCAACGCTTCGCCCGGTAACACTGTTGTCTAGAGCGGCGCTGCTGAGCCTTTTTGATACCTATTTCGAGTATTTTCGCCGCATACTGCTTGGCGCGTTGACAGTCTTCATCTCTGAGCGGATGCCACTTGATATGCAGGTTGGTCAGGGCCATGCATACTGTAAACGTCATGTCGTAATGGCGCTCGTCCCACCTCCACCTATTTCCCATTACGGCCCACAGGGTCGACAGGCGGCCAAACCAATTCTCGGCAACTATATGGTCAACAGCCTTCCTTCTATTTTGACGCTCCCCTTCAGCAGTGAGGAATCCCCCTTTCGGTTTCTTTTTGGGAAACACGGCCCTTATGAATTCGCAAGAGCGTTGGTACTCTTTATCCATAATCACACCCCACTGTCCCTCAAACTCCTCCCTCGGCGTTCCAACGTCCAGTACGGTGTTCATCTCCGCTTACGTTTTCCTGAGCGCATCTTTGTGCCAAAGCAGATTGTGGCAAAGGATTGCAATATCCGAAACAGATCCAGGATGATGGATCGATACCCCCAATCGCCAGTCCATTTGGGAGTACAGAAAGTTCGGGTTTATGACCATAAAGTTTGTGCTTGTTGCTAAAATACTTTCCGCTTTCTTGATGGTTACCAACCGGACGGTTACTGCATTGGAATGTGACATCCACAGCATACAGACAGAAAGAGTATTCGCCAAATGTTTTGTACTCATGCATCAATCTTTCCATATTGTACTTTCTCTCAAAACGTTTCGCGCCAATATGTTCAAGTTTGTCAACTACTTTCGCCATAAAATCAAGCACTTGTTTTTCAAATGTGGAGCATTTCATTCTAAACATCTTGCGGTTATATTCCCAATTTCCTGTCGTGCACTGAGGGGGAAGGGTGGGATCCCCCTCTGGCAGAGCGCGCGCGTTCGGGGGGCGCGTGTAGGGGATTATCGGGAGACCACCCGTAAAAGACCGGTACGGGGCCGGGCGCGAAGCGCAGTAGGGAAAGTAAGGGAAAAAGTGGGAAAACAGGGGCCCAGGAGGGGCGGAGCGGTAGGGACAGCTGTCGCGCGGAGAGCCGGGCGTGGCGGGACAACGCGCGCGGTAGAGGCAGGAGGGAATCGGGACGTAGATGGCTCGCAGGGTACCGTCGTGGGACGGGGACCGACGCGAGGCTACGACTCCGTTCCAGAAACCCGCGTTGTAGACCCAAAGCTTCGTACGGTTTTTCTCAGGGTCGGACGTCGGCTATATACTAGCCGACGTCGGAGCTATAAACTAAAAAAACTAAATTGAACGACGGCGGCGATGGCCGGAGAAACTCCTCTTGGGGAGGTATGACAACCGTTACAGGTGGGGAATGGCACCTGGACACAGCGGCTTTGATGCCCGGTTACACGTGGCGTGAGGTACACGTGGGCACCGGAGGGGAGGGGGCAGGCCGCGCTGGCCGGGGACAGGTGTCCCGAATGAGAAGATGAGGGCTGTCAGTGCACTACATAGCCCCCCTCTTTGAGTAGAGCGTCCTCGCAAACGCGGAATCTGGCATCCAATGGATCGCCGGTGGTCACGTCTTCGCGCCAGGGTGTTGAGCTTCGTACCCGCGCACTTGCCTATGTTGTCGCGCGCGACGTTGTCCCGCGCTCCCTTCGGCGTGTCATGAGCACACCCCGGGCGCACGTGTTTCCTCGCTCACGACCGCGGCAGTTCACCCACGTTCCTATCGACGCGTCCTGAGCGCGTCCCGGTGCCCGCGCCTTGTCCTGCGCACGAGCAAGCCTCGTACGCGTGCGTACTTGCCCGGGTCGGGAGCGCGACGTAAGCCCATATACCGGTCTCCTTGTTCGCGAGCGCGACGTTTCGCGCACGCTCCTTTCTTCGCGTTCGCGCGCGTGGTGCGACACCACGAGCCGGGGGTGCGTCGTCACGAGCGCGCGGTGCGTCTTGGGGGTCCCGAGAGTATCAGATATGCGAACCGGCGCGGGGTGAGCTTGGTCAGCCCGATCCGAGGGTAGGAGCTACTCGAGCTCCGGTCGGCTCAACGTGGACAGGTGTCCTGACCGGGGGCACATATCCCGGCACAGGGGCCGTGAGTCGGGGCAGTACGTATGTCCCATAAACTCCTCTTAATCCCGGCCGTCCCCGCGAATTCTAATTCTGGCGGTCCGTGTACCGCCGCGGAATTTCTCGATCCCCCGGCAGCCAGGACCGGAGGCGCAACGAAGAGGCGAAACGTAGATGGCGGGGGAGTATAGGGAGCCGCTCGTCTCTGGGGACGGGCCGGCGGTCGCCGGCCCGTGGCGACGACTCACGTTTCTTCTCGTGGAACCGCCATACCCCGGTGCGCACGCGGAGCGCACGAGGCGTGAGGTACGCTGTAGCAACCCGTCCCCCTTGACACAGCCGGGACTCTGACTTCGGAGAGCGGACCTTCGACCCGATCTCGCACAGTACACCGGCGCGAGCGAGATGCACGCACCGCTGCACTCCTTCGCAGGGGTTTCGTCCTCTCAGGGCGAGCGGTGGCCCCGCCCCCGGGACTTATGGGGTCGAAACTTGTACGACGATGCGCTACTCTTTGAGCGAGCCCCTTTCATGGTGTCGGAGGGTTTGCGCGACGCGGAATTGATCCGTGCGTACGCGACGTCCACGGGGGAACTCCGTGGGGGTTTGAGCGTGGCGGCCGTCGGCTCTCGCGACTTCACGCACCGCCTAGTCGTGGAGCCGGCTTTGTTACGTCCGGAATTCAGACGGGTGAACACGGAGACCCGTGTGGCCTTTGTGGAATTAATTCGGCAACGTATACGCCGTACCCCCTGCAACAGGCTCGTCCCTCGGGCTTGGAACCTGGACACCTTGGCGTATCGGGCGGACGGGGACCGGGGGTACGTTGCGAATCTGAAACGAATTTTTGATGATCTCCGCATCCGGGAGGAAGAACCCTCGGTGGCCATGATGGCCTGGGACCGACCTCTGTTGCCAGAGAACTTCGTTCGATCCCCAGATCGGAGGCGCGACCCCGCGATGCACACCAAACTCAAGTTTGAGCGACGCATGCGCAATCGGACGGGGGTGTTCGTCGCATACGAATGGGTGGAGGTAAAGACATTCGAGCGGACGGTGTTGAGCACGCGGTATCCTGAGATACCGGCGTGGTTTGCGCAGTATGAAGTCCCTGCCGACTTCATTGCGGAAATTCCCCCGTGCGTGGTGTACTTTGGACTGAGTCTCATGGAGGACCCTCAGTCCGCACGCTGGATGGTCTTCCTTAGCGAGTGGCTCGCCTTAGTTGCCGGGCGGTTCTTGAAGTATGCCCACGAGGGGCGGTTGTTTATCCTCCCGACCATGGTCGTGGAGTGGTTGCACCGACTGGACTTGACGCGCATCTTGGGTGGCACAGAAGCACAACGACAGTTACAGGTCCTCCTGACTCTCCACGGGGACATCTACTGGACGCGCGTCCCTTACGCCCAGGGCCATCATTTTGACAACCCCCGGAGCAGGCACTACTCCCCTGGGAGACAGCATGACAAGGGGCGCCCGGACCGTGGCAACTGGGTCCGGCTCGAGAGCGGAACGCTCCGCCTGGACCAACCGGAATTCCTGAGAGGAGGGGAAGGGGTCGCCGAAGGTGACGGCGGAGGGGGACGTTCCGGAGAAGTCCGGGTCGTGGAGCGGGAGGGCGAGGGTCGACGCGTCCGGCGTCGTGGAGTCGGTTACGGGAAGGGGGCTGAGGACCCCTGCCCGAGGTGGGTAGAGAGACGCGATACAGCGACGATGACGGACGCGGAGCTGCGTAGGTGGTTGAATAACCCGCCGTGGCGAGCTCAGTTGTATCGTCTGATCGCGGAGGAGGCGACGAGGACTCGCGAGGTCGCCAGGGAGACGCCCGAGGTGGTCGTGCGCGTGGCGCCCTTGTCGCCGGTAGGGGACGCGGGGGCCACGATGTCCCGGACGGCGCCCGCCTCGGCGGGGCCCGGGCCCGCGGAGGGGGGTTCCGCAGAACCGCCGCAGGTTGAGGAGGTGGAGGCGGTTCGCGAGGAAGACCTCGCGGACTACGGGGCGGAAAGCGACCCGTGAGATCCGATGATCCCTCGACAGCTGAGCCGAGGAGATGGGGGCTCGTCGAGGGCGAGGGTCAGCCGAGGCGAGGTCGAGGGTGGACGTCACAGCTCGCTGCTGTGGTAAGGTGTCCGTCGGCGTCATTGCCGGACGGGGAGCCGTTCTCGGATAGTCCGAGGAAATAAACGACGCGAGGTCGGTAGCGGAGGTCACCGCTCAGGGGTCCGTCGGCGTCATTGCTGGACGGGGAGCCATTCTCGGATAGTCCGAGGAAATAAACGACGCGAGGTCGGTAGCAGAAGTCACCGCTCACTGCGGTGGTAAGGTGTTCGTCGGCGTCATTGCTGGACGGGGAGCCGTTCTCGGATAGTCCGAGGAAATAAACGACGCGACGGCAATAGGGACCCCTGACTCTGTAGCTTGTTCCGCGAGTCGTATAGGTGGGTCCGCGTGCTGTCCGAGGCGTAGTTCCGGCCTCCGCTGGGGAGG